TATATAGCTGTAAGAAGCTGGTTATGTTCCAGGTTATGACAGTATTATATTTAACAGAGATGGCTCATTTTTATAGCTCCAACGACTCCCTGGCTATGACTGCTGAAAGTGAGGTACCAAGTACTGAGGCCAGCCCTGTGTACAACAGGCTCCCAGATAGGATGATATGTATGTGGAACCCTGAAAAGTTATGCTAAAAAGGAGCACATATAAAAAATCAATGTTTGAAACTGTGAGGAACCTTCATTAACTTGGATATCATTATTTTCAAATCTCTTACCAGTTCTTTTAATTTTAGATACATGACTATTTTTTTTTTCTTTATAAGCAAGGTCTTGCTAGCCTCAAACACAGAGTCAATCCTCTGTTTCCCTAGTGCTGGGATCGCTGGAGTACACCACCATGCCCAGCTAGAGATATGAATTGTATATTAAAAAAGCACTGTATGCCTTAAACATGCACCAAGTTGTCAAATGCATTGAAAACATTTCATATTGGTGGTAAACGTGGCCTTCCTTCTGTTTCTGCAGCCGTCACTGTAACATAAAGCAGCTGTCATGAAGTGGGCTTTAGCTGTTCCCTGTTCTGGCTGGTGTCCAACGAGCTCCCAAGGAAGTGATCCTTCACCTATGACACAAAATATTTAGAAAAGGAAGCCACAGACAAATCCATCAATGACCTCCACTACAGAATAAGGACTTTGGACCAATTGAGCTTGAAATTTTATGATAAAGCATAAAATGTTCTAAAATTAAATTATGCTTTAATTATTATATAATTAGATGGTAATGCTTCTAAATGAGTTCATTGATTAACTCTGTATTGACTGTAAGGCTAGACATAATACTGTTTTAATAAAGTACTTCACTTTAAACAGAAACTTATAAGACTCCAAAATTAACCTGAAGACTTCACTTTACCACATCCAAAATCAGAACAGCAAAGAAACGCAGGCCATCTGCAGGTGTCCATGTGAAGATTTTTTTAAAAATAACTTCTGAGTCCCATCCCATCTACTCTCTTTTTGTAATATAGATTACATTAGTGGAAACAGCAACAGTCTCATTAGTGAAACCAAAGCCTCTCTGGTCAAACCCACGTGTCTTATCACTCTCCTCTCCTCTAACAGCATAACCCACTCCTCACTGGTGTTTTCTGTGTCTCTAGCTGCCGTACTCTACAGGAGTGCTTCACTGGAACTTGTTTTCCATATATGTCAAGTGAATTTATCATTCGTCTAAAGCACATTCGTTCCCGGCTTTTGTCAGGAATGTCACTCTGCCAACTCATTCACTTTCCTACCCTTCTGAGGGGCTTTGGCCTCTGCCTTCCTTTCCTCCGCCAAGGGGCGCCCTCCTCTCTCCTCTCACCTCCCGTTTCATCACAGAGATCATGTCCTACTTTAACCAGTACTTCTAGCATAGAACCCTTTTCTGAGCTCCAGACCAGCATTATAAGGAAGAACACCTCAGAAACGTCCGGCCAGCACTTCAGGTGCAAAAGCTCAGAAGTTATTAGGACATTTCTCCAGCTATACCTGTTGCCTATAAAAAACAAAACAAAACAAAAAAAAAACAACTTAGAGAAAATGTGCTCTTTTAATATAATCTGGTCTAGAAGTTCTCTGTTTCTCTGTGGAGCTCTCCGTCTCACTTACCATCCACATCCAGCTAATTCTGAAGCCCTTCATGCACCATTTAGTTTCAGCATCCAAATCTGGAGCCTCACTTTCTTTTTATCCTTTAAATTTTATTTATAATTGTGTTCATAAAAATAGAAAAAGGAATGCCAGGCATGGTGGTTTATGCCTTTAATTCCAGCACTCCAGGGGCAGACGCATGTGTATGTCTATGAGATCTAGGCCAGCCTGGTCTACATAATGAGTTCCAGGTCAGCTGTAGCTACAAGCAAACCCTGTCTCAAAAAGATAAAAGAAACCCAAAGAGACAAAAACAAACAAACAAACAAAACTCCAATAAAACAAAATCCAAAACCACCACCACCACCAAAAGTCCCCAGAAAACTAGCATCTGAACCATGTTTACCTGCAGTTCACTGATGCTCAGTGCATCACCACCTGCAGGATCACCAGAAGGCTCTTCCTCTTACAAACTGAAACTGCACACTAAATCACTTTCCAGGATCCTCTCTCTAGCTACCTTCCTTCTCTGAATTTAAGTTCTCCAAATATCACAAAAAAGTAGAATCATGTAGTATTTCTCTCTTTTTGTGGCCAGCTTATTTTTTAATCTTTGCCTACTTTCTAATATACATCATAATTTCATTTTTAAGGCTGAGGATTATTCCATTTTATGTATGAGCCATGTCTTGTCTAACTATTCATCTACTGATGGATGGTAGTTCCTAACATACTGTTAGCTATGTGTTACCTTCTGCCTTTTGGTTTTTGTGAACCGCATAGCTATGAACATAGATGTTTAAATATCTTTTGGAGACTGATTTTCTTTGGGGAATAGATCTAGAACTTGAATCTCTGGATCACATGGTAATTCATTTTATAATTATTTTTTTTGTGTGTGACAGGGTCTCCTTGTAGTCCCAGTTTGCCTAGAACTTCTTATGTAGACGAGGCTATCCTCAATCTCACGGAAATCTGCCTGTCTTTGCCTCCCGAAGGCATGTGCCACAATTTGTAAGTTTTTGAAGAACTGTCATACAACCTCATTTTTTCCTATTTGGATTACTATGCCAATTTTGATTACTATCTTAATTTCTAATGTGTCTTTCCCTCCAATCTCTCTCCGTTCATTATGCAGACTTCTATAAGACAAACTAGCCTGTAGCACAATACAAATCACAACACTATCTTTTCTAAGAAGAACTTTACTGAGTCCCCTAAGCCCAGGGCAGAGCATGACATGAGAGTTCTCAATGAGTGATGGCTGAATGAATGTGTGGACAGCAGGTGGAAACGAATGGAATCCATTGTCTCCCTACCTTTAATTATCCTCAGGTCTATTAAACTAACCTAAGTTCTCCTGCAGGCTGTCATTTCAAATTCCTATTATACTCCTTTAGCAACAGCTAATGGTAAGAGATCAAAGACACAATGTCAAACTCAGAAGAAATGAAAGGACAGAACTGTTTCAAAATATTTCCTCAATTTACTTCTCATTTCTCAATACATACTGTCCCAATTTAAGTGACCTGAGTCAGGAACGTGGCTGTAAATATGTTTTATTTGACACAGTGTTTTAAAAATACTTGAATTTAAATGAGTTTGGGGGTAAAGTGGAATATGCTTTCCAATCATCTCAGTTGAAACTGGGTCCACATCAGTCACTGGCGATGCCTTTGGAGTCCCTAAGGAGAGGGACTGAGCCATTTGCACCCTTATGCCCCACTTTGGGCTGCTGTGCAGTTTCTCCTTCACCTCACAGACAGTTCTCTACTCATGGCTTAACCAGCAGGTTTCACAACCCCCTTAAAACCTTTCCAACCCTGCTTTCCTCCGGTACTCTGACTATATCCTTCCTTTACAACATGGAGCATACTTAGACCGATCACATAATTATTTCTTATCAGGCCTATACATGGGAAGGATTCTTTGAACTGGTTTATCATGTTGCTGAGTTTTGATAACTCTCATAGCATCCAGACATGTTAGGCATCTGTAACTCCAGTTCCAGGGGATCTGACACTCTCTTCTGACCTCTGCGACCATTGCTTAACATGGGTGCACTTACAGACATGCAGGCAATGCAGTCATACACATAAAATAAAAATAAGTAAAATATTTTTAAAAATTAAAAAAACATACAAATTAAATAAGCTGGTTTTCACTAAATTCTTAAGTCAACTATTCTACTTCACTTACATGTTAAATTACAATTAAATTTAAAGATGTTTATAGTATGTTTACAATAAACTCGCTTAGAAAGATAAAAGGATGACTAAGTTTCAAAAGTGAGAATGATTATTTGGTGCTTGTTTGCTGTGTGAGATTTCCCACATATCGTATATTTCTGGAACATTCCCATAAACAAAGTCTGAAGATATTAAGGCACTTGTTTCCAGGCACAAATTTGACTCTGAGCCCAGGTTTCTACTAAAAGGGCGTAAGATCCAGATAATCAGCCTTTCCTGAGAACTGGGGAACTGGTGGGATTTATGTTCTGCTTTCAAATTTAGCCAGTAAACTGTCCCTCCCTAGTTACAGTGCCTTTATTATACATAATTAGGACATCAAATATTTGTGTTTGTATAATGATTTTCCTTCAGTCAACAGCAGGAAGGGACAAATCAACTACTGAAATATAATTTACTTCAAGACACGTATCTTGCCTACATAAGGCACTTGTATCAAAAATGTTTTTATTTTCTCAAATATGTTCAAACATTACAATATTTTAAACTCATAAAGCATCGAGTTCTCTTTAGTAACAAGTTCTATGTAATACAGCTTAAAACAATCATAAATAACAAATAGATGAATAAGATATGCTAATTGAAAAGTTTAAGGATCTAGTCAACTGAAAAAAGTTAGTTTGGAAAAATATTCCTCTATCTATCTATCTATCTATCTATCTATCTATCTATCTATCTAT